CAACCCAGTCATTTACAGCTTTCCGGACTTCCTCGCCCCATTGTTCGTCGCTTCATATGCTGACTCCCTCCATGTCATGCGTGTAGATTCATTTATACTCTACTTATACTTCCAAGTGACGTTGAAGTAGTTTTGGCTCCGAAGTGGAATATACCATGAGGTAGTGTAGACAACTGATTGTGTCTCCCCAAAAACCAAACCCGGTGATAAGTACCTTTTACGTCTTTGATTATCGAGTTAGGTGAAGAGTTGAAGAGTCTCATGAATTTTCTTTAGCCTTGACCATTTCTAACCTATTCTAAAATGAGTTTTTCCAAAATCATTTATTTCGTGCCGTTAAACCCAAAATCATTCATTTCGTGTATTTGAAAATCGTTTATTTCGTGTGCTCTTTATAAAAACGTCCAAATCAGTTTATTTTGGTCCATAATATGGGTCCAATAATTGTGTAGTTGGATGGAGATTGAAAAGAGTTTTCCAACAATATATTATAAGCTCAAATCCGAGTTATAACGAGGAAGTTATGGCCAAAATACTAAATTGGGCCCAAACCGAGCCTTACGTACGGCCCAATGACCATGTGGATGGTCCATTAACCTTAAACGTCATTCCTAAAACTCTTAGGATTTGTTATTGGCTTCTAGAATCTCTTAGAAGGTTTTAATTTATCCTCTTTTTGAAAAGATAAAGACTAAGAATTTTATATCGGATAAAACACTTGTTTTTTAATAAATTTAATTCTGATAAAATAAGGATAAGTACGGATATTCAACTAACCCAATTTGATTGGAAGTCGGATTCCGTACGGATCTTATCTTCTAAAAAGCATCGTGCAGCGATGGAAATATCGCACAACGATGCTAATATCAAGCAGCGATATATGCATCGCGTCGCGATGTAACCATCGTTACGCGATGAAAGGCGTTTTACTCCGAGTCGATTTCTGACTCTTATTTTGATCTTTTCCTTCGTTTTCCCTATAAATAGGGGCGTTTTACTTAGTTTTGATTCACAACAATCATCATCTAATCTCCTCTCTATAAGCTTTTAAGCTTCTTCTCTCTCTTTCTAGCCTTAGCCTTAGCCTAAATACATCACACACCATACGTCATTTGCGAGACTTGAATACTCCAAGCCCTTCTCGTAGTTGCCTTCGACCTCGACGTGAAAGGTTGATATTTCTGAGGGTTCGGTCCCTAATCCTTATTTTAATTCTTATTTGATTTATTTGTTTGATTTAATTTTTCTTGAAGTTACTAACGCGTGTATTGTTTTGATCGAAAGAGATACGAGGCAACAAAGTGAGTAGATATACTATCCTTGTTCCTCGCTTTTGATATAGAAATCATTCTTAGAATATTATTTTAATTTCTAGTATCATGTTAGGATGTCTTTTGATTTATAGTACCATGATAGGATATTTATTTTGCTTCTTAGTATCATGTTAGGATGTTAATTAATATTTCTAATATCATGCTTTCTAGTATCATGTTTAGGCTAAAGCTTTAATCTTGATTATTATTTAGTGACATGTTAGGATTTGTTATTAATCCGTTTAGTATTATGCCTAGGATCTTGCTAATCATTTTTTAACAATGTTATGATGATTTGATTATGATGATGATTGTTGTGTCAATTACACGTTGCTTGATTATTCATGATTTATTGTTTTTGCTTGATCATGCACAATCAGCAGGTTTAAAGGGAATTTGTACTTGAAATCACGCCTAATAAGATAATTAATTATTTGTTTTAGGCTAATATGATTTTAATTTCAAGTGATCGCCAATAATAGATTTATTTGTGCATTAATAATCAGCCAACATAGATTAAACAGGTTTAGGGCTAACTTGTTGTATGTATGTTGATCGGAAAGCGCACACGAATATCATAAGAATTAAGTAGAGGCCGATTTAGGGCGGGTTCAATCTCTTTTAGGTTGGATTCGTACCATCATCCCCGAATATCTAGTCATGGTTCCGGACCACTATGGAGTTAGCAATCTCCGTGATTGTGAATGGGGTGTAACCTTCATACCCGTGGACGATTTACAAGTTCCTAAAACTTGTTGCCAACTCTTTTATCTCTAGCTTCTTTCCCTTTGGACGCCACCATGCTTAAATGCATGATCGCAGTGGGGCTCAAAGTTAATGTTTGAAATATTCCCTACAATTAGACATACACTCCAAGCACCATATGTATGAAACCAACGTCTACGACTACATTCTTAGGGGCACTATTGCAGTACATTGGAATGCCCTAGGTGTAGATCGTCCTTCTTTCATACCGCATTTTAAAAGATTGTATGCCAACCTCGAGCCTTGGGTTTGGGTTATCACTGATTCTCGCGTAAGTAGGAACACGTTGGTAAGAATTTTGGGTCAGTTACCTGGTAGCTACCGAGTTTCTTGTTTTGCACCGCGAGGATGCACTGGAGGTGTTGTTCTCATAAGGGATAAAAGATTAATCTCCCGTTTTGTTGACCGTGCACAGCTTAACAATTTTGACATTTTGGAGTCTGAATATTAATTGGATATCACCAATGTGGAATAAACCTATTGTCTAGTTAAAAGTTTAATGCATTCAATGACCCCCAATTAGAATTTACTACTTCCATTTAATGCCCCAACCTAAAAATTGTACTTGCATTAAACAATATCTTTACTACAAAAGTTGTATAATTCAAGCTACCATCTAAGTTTAACTTTTACAAAGTTACACCATTTCCACAAGATCAAACCAAGAATCACGTTTATAAACCGCAATAGTAATATGCAAAATAAGAAAAACTATGATGGGGCTTCTTCCCTAAGAAGAACCACAAGATCCATCACTCGACTAAAACATACGCCGAGAAAGGAAAAGCAAAGGTGGAAGACTTTGATATTTGCAAAGAACTATGTGAACCCAGTGAAAAAGATGTGAAGGATTCCATTAGCGCCATAGCTCTCGAAAAGAAATCAAAGAGTCTCATCCTCCCATTTCTGCTAGTCATTAAGAGTGGTAAGGGTTCGGGAGCTATACACGGGTTACGGTTTCATCCCAACTACCCTTACTTAGCTTGACACTACTTGAACTTTGCCCACCAAGGGAGATCAAAAAGGATGCCTATAGCTTATTGTGTTTACCTTTTGGATGTGTACAACATGGCTTTTATTTTTGATGTGGTGAAGTTGAAGAAAAGACTGATAAAATGCATGCTAAAAAAGCGTGCGTACAAATGGCTTGCAAAATTCTTTTCCATGTTTAAGCCATTAAAAGCTTGGTGGGAGGATGTTGATGAGAAACTTGAGGAGAATGTGCTCGAATCGGGAAAATGGGGTGTTATTATTTTGGGGGCAAGTTCTCCGGAAAAAATGGAATAGGTCTTCTTATTGCCGAGAATATCAACATCACATGTGAGTAGGTCAATTTTTCACATGAGAATTTCATGAGAATTGAGTTCGAGTTCCAGCACGATGACGACAAATTCCCTGAGTTCAAAAACATAATGATAGAGGCTAACGGGTTAGATGCTATGGACAACATGGATGCCCTCCTCACAAACCCGTATATAATTAATCTACATCCCGAAGGGTACAAGCTCCGTATGGATTTGGCAGTGAAGAAACTCACAAACCGGCTATCCCTGGGATATGAATTTCCGTAGTGACTCCTAGTACACCACGATAGATACGGATGGCATTGAAGAAATCGAATACAGTTGCTCTATTGCCATGCCTGTTGTTGATATCTTTAGAATTCCATCTTAGTAACTGTCGGTATCTAACATACACTCCAGAGCAATTTACTCACAAATCCAGCCACATGATTTCCAAATTTATTGGACACAACACACCACCACAAACAAGTTCATATTAAGTTCTTACATGTTTAAAACACAAATGTCAAAATCTCAGGCATAGAACAATAAATAACCATACATAAGATGGTATCATAACAATACCAACAAGCCATAAGATGGTATCAGCTAAATACCAATTTCTTAACTGCGTCATATCAAAATTCCAGTCTACCACCAATCCACACTAATTTCATACACAATATCAATAACATTCCCACTAATTCTACACCAACAAATTATTAGAAAATACAACATCAATATAACACCAATAACTTTCCACACAATTCTACACCATACAAATTATTAGATAAATGGGACAACCCCATAAACCCCCAATTCACCCCCATAAACCCCTAATTCACATGGCAATTATTAAGAAGAATTAGAGCTTTACAATTCCAAGAACACATAACTTGCCCATCACAACATTACAAATCCTACTCAAACCTAAATAAACAAATTAACATCGAAATTTGACAAATAGCCAGCGAAATTTGACAAATAGCCCTAATTACCCAATTAAACGAATTTCTTAAACAATTAAAACCCAAAAAACACGGAATTTGGAGGCCTTGAACGAAACTCAACAAATACATTGCAAGATTATCGACATTCACTGATACTAAAAACTTATGGAACAAAAATTAGTTCAAAAAATACGTTACTTCAGTTGAAACACAAAACCCGGAAACTTACTTCAGTTGAAATACGTTACTCTGGGAACTTCCGGCAACGACAACGAACAAAGATCGGCAAATTCGAGTTCCAAATACCCTTGCTTGAACTTGGTCGCAATTTTTAAGGTTTCAATTTGCTCTCCCTATAAAATTTTGGGAAATGAAATTGCTTTCTCTCTCCTCCTCTCCCACTTCAATCCCACTTCAATACCCTAAAAGTCTAAAAGTGACTCTCAACTCCTCTTTTCATTTTGAATTTGCAAATGGGGCCCAAGTCTTTTCAGCTTTTCTTGTATTCTTTATACTTCCTCTTTTTTTTTTTTTTTTTTTTTTTTTTATTGCATCATAGGGGTTTTGGAGGCAAAATTTGGTAATGGGAAAAAGTAAGAGAGAAAAACGTAAAAATACAAAATTGTCCATATAATGTAAAGATAAAATAAAAAGTAAGTGTGAAAAAGTAAGGGTATGTTGGGTATTTGCAACGTGAATATAAATATTTTTTGTCCTAAAATGAAAGTGATGCAATATTTGTGAAACTTCCCTAAAAACAAGTGATGCGATATTAAAAGAACAGAGGAAGTAATTAAATGACGCAAATTCCTTTTTTACTCCCTAAGTTAGGGTCCTTGTGGACTCAACCTAGTAGAGGATGAGAAATCCTCGAAAATTACTCAGTATATTCAGTTTGACAGTCAGACTCAAATACAGCACTAAGCCGAATTGCCATAGCTACTTATCATGCTCCTCTGCGAACTTGTATACACGCTGCGCAATGATGCAGTCCAGTGTCAAATCGCTTCGCTCAATCTGCTGCTTCTCTCAGATTATCAGAACATCTTTCAACACTTTATCTTCTTCATCTTCTTCATACTCTACTCAACCATTGAACACCTCCTCAATTACCGTGCTAACCAATCTCTGCTCTAAGGGACGCATAAAAGAAGCATTTGAGAGCTTCAAATCTGAAATATGGTCAGACCCAAATCTATTTTCTCATTTAATTCATGGTTGTATTTCCAAAAATTCGATTTCATGGGGAAAACAGCTTCATGCTATTACAATTACTTCTGGATGTTATTTAGACAAATTCGTTAATAATCATTTGTTGAATATGTATGGAAAACTTGGGGAATTGGAGACTGTTTTAGTGCTGTATAATGTGATGCATAGGAAGAATGTGATGTCTAGTAACATTTTGATTAATGGGTATTTGCAAAGTGATGATTTGGGGGGTGCACAAAAGGTGTTTGATGAAATGCCTGAACGAAATGTTGCGACTTGGAATGCGATGGTCACGGGGATGATACAGTATGAGCATAATGAGGAGGGGTTGGGTTTGTTTTCGAGGATGCATTTGTTGGGGTTTTCGCCGGATGAGTTTACGTTGGGTAGTGTGTTTCGAGGATGTGCTGGTTTGAGAGCTTTGTTTTGTGGGAGGGAGGTTCATGTTTATGCCATCAAAAGTGGTCATGGTCTGAGCTTGGTTGTTGGTAGTGCATTGGCGAATATGTATATGAGGTGTAGGAGTTTGGAGGAAGGGGAGAGAGTAATTCAAGGGATGCCTATTCATAATGTGATTGCTTGTAATACTCTAATTGCCGGAAGAGCACAAAATGGGTGCCCTGAGGGTGCTTTAGAACAGTATAATATAATGAAAAAGGCGGGGTTTCAACCCGATAAAATTACATTTGTTAGTGTCCTTAGTTCATGTTCTGAATTGGGGACCCTGGGACAAGGCCTTCAGATACATGCTGAGGTGATAAAGCGTGGGGTTACTTCTGTAGTTCCTCTGGTTAGTTCATTGATAAGCATGTATTCTAGATGCGGATGCTTAGAAGAATCAATCAAAGCTTTCATGCAGTGTAAAGATGCAGATGTTGTCCTGTGGAGCTCAATGATCTCTGCTTATGGGTTCCATGGCAAAGGAGGAGAAGCCATTGAGCTTTTCAAGCATATGGAACGAGAAGGACTAGAGGCAAACAATGTTACCTTTCTGAGCCTGTTATATGCTTGTAGTCATTGTGGACTGAAGGATGAAGGACTTGAATATCTTGACCTAATGGTAAAGAAATATGGATTAAAACCTAGGTTAGAGCATTACACCTGTGCTGTTGATCTACTTGAGCGTTCTGGTTGTCTCTTGCAAGCAGAAGATATGATCAGATCAATGCCCAGTAAAGCAGATGCTGTTATATGGAAAACTTTGTTATCTGCCTGTAAAACCCATAAAAATACTGAAATGGCTAAGAGGATCGCTGAAGAGGTCCTCAAACTTGATCCTCTGGATTCCGCTTCCTATGTTATGCTTGCGAACATCCAGGCCTCTGCAAAGAGGTGGGATGAAGTTTCTACTGTCAGAAAAGCCATGAGGGATAGACGAATTAAGAAGGAACCGGGTGTTAGTTGGTTTGAGTTCAAGAATGAAGTACACCAATTCACCATGGGAGCAAAGTACCATCCTAGGTCCATAGAGATTTATCTATATCTAAAAGAACTAATGTCAGATATAAAGAAATGTGGGTATGTTCCAGATACTGGATCTGTTTTGCAAGACATGGATACAGAAGTGAAGGAGCAAAATTTGGCTCAGCATAGTGAGAAGTTGGCCATTGCATTTGCTCTAATGATCACTCCTCCTGGTTTTCCTATAAGGGTGATGAAGAATCTGCGTGTTTGTGATGATTGTCACGTGGCTATCAAGTACATATCTAGGATAAAGGACAGGGAGATTATAGTGCGTGATACTAGTAGGTTTCATCATTTCAAATATGGTGAATGTTCTTGCAGTGATTATTGGTAGGATAATTGACAGCAAGAGGTTGGCTGTTCATGCAAATTTGTTCAAGCGCTATCAAAACGGCACCCAAACACGTAGAAATTTTGTTGGAAGGACTACAGATAGCTGGAAAAGGTGAAAATTAAACAAACAAAATCCGAACACCTGTAGGAATGTTTGTTGGGTGGATCTGGAGAGACTGCAAAGTGCATATAGCTGGAAAAGGTGAAAATCTATATAAACAGCACCCAAACATGAGAAATTTCGTTGGATGGATTTCGGCAGTGTACATATATCTGGGAAAGGTGAAAATTTATGATTGCTTGAGCTTGAAAATTGATTCACATTATTAATTAACATGAAGCTAGCATAATAATTTCTGTTGATTGAAGTTTAGATCTATATCTATTGTATTTATCAGTATTAAGTGTTCTGCATATTGCTAATTAATTAATCTTGCCTCTTTTATAACGTTAAGTTTGCTCATTGTCTTTGTCAATAGCCTTGTGTATATCCGTTTTGTTTCTCCTGCCCTTGTGAGATAGTGTGACTGTGAAGGAATTAAAGAGAACTTTCATGCTACCAAGAATAAGAAATGGCCGATTGTCCTTAAACCTTTCAAATATCACAATTTGACAGCACATGACTGAGCATTTCAGCTTCCTCTAAACTTGGCATTAATGTATTTTTTCCACTGAAAAGATAGCATGTTCCAAATTATGATAGTGCAGACCAAAATTGAATCTGAGAAAGAATAAAACTAAAAGAGCTAACAAAAATCACACCTCGAGAAAGTAAGAATTCATCCCTAAAAATAGAAAGTGTCTCCTCTGCCTTACAATTAGATTTGTGAGAATCACGCAAGACTTTGCCAAATCTCTTTGATGACACATCTTTTTATGAAATGTGATGCACTTCGTACTATTTATATTACATATTGAAGAATTTGATACAATCGGTTATTTTAGAAAAGCCTGAAATAGTTTGAAGTAAATATAAACAAATGACTAAAATTAATAATGAACAAGATTCGTGATGAAATTTCTTCACTAGCAGTAAAAAAGCTCTACCCAAGAATCAAATTGGGGCAGTTTGGTCAGAATTGCTTTATAGGTAAACAAAAAATAGACGTAAAGGGGGAGAGCCTGGGATAGAATCATGACAGCATGGAGTTTAGAATAAGCATAAGCAGCAGTCATGAACATTTCTAACTTCCAGTATAAAGTACTTACTGATTTATATCCCTATTTAAATTTTGATTTAATAATTACTGCACCTTTCTTGGTTAGTAGATTATTGATTTAGGAATACTCTCTGCTTCGTGTTTACTAAATGAGGAACTCATTATGAAACTAAGCCAATGTCTGGGATCCTTTCTCTTTTATTTATATTAGATCGTTTGTATCTATTACTATCTATTGGATAGCTTAATGTGGGTTTCCTCTATATGTTCAGTGCATTAAGCTATGTGGTACTGTGGTAGTAGGTTATCTCATTTGAATTTTGCAATAATTTTGTGAAAAAAAATTGGATTCTAATCCACCTAAAATCTACCCTGAATCATGCTTGCTATGTTCATTTGTAACCTCTATATATATATCTGTAACCTCAATTTGAAAGTGAAGATAAATGACCTTTCAAATTCTGATTCTAAGCCACCTTAAATCTACCCTAGAGTCACTTTTGGATTTTCTGTGCTTTAAGTTCTGATTTTGGCTTTGGATTTTATTGCTTTTTTGCTCTGATGTTGGTGACTTGGGGAGGGAATGCTTCATAGAGAAATGAGTTTATGACTTTATGCAAAGGAGGGGCGAGAGAGAAAAATTATGAAAGTTAAGATGAGAGAGATAGAGAGAGGAAGGGAGAAGGAAAAAGTATGCAAGTGAGTATAAGAGAGATAGAGGGAGTGGAGCAAGTAAGACTAGACTTAAGTCAAAGGGAGGGAATAAGTAAATGCAAAGGAAGGGGTAGGGAGAGAGAATTTTAGAGTGAAGATAAAAGACCTTGATAGGATGGAGCAAGTAGGACTAAGCTGGCTCTTACTAAAAATGTTAAAACCATTAGAGAAAAGAGATATGGAAAGAAGAATAAAGAGCAAGAGAAAGGGGAAAGGGAGAGTATGAGAAGGAGATGAGGAAGAGGGATAAAAAAAGTGACTAGGCGAAGGTTAAGATGATAAACAAAGATCAGGGATAGAAGTCGGAGAGGAGACATGAAGATTAAAGCTCTCGTAGGAGATCTTTATAGAATAAAATATCTTTTTAATGACATGACAGAAAAATTAACTATTAAAAAGAAAGTTTCTCAATTACATATGACCATATAAGATTAATAAGAGGTAGGATTTATTTTTTTAAAAATAAAAAATAAAAGAAAAAAGAAAAAAAAAAAGAAAAGAAAAGGAGAAGGGGGGTAAGGAAGAGATAACGGATGAGGGAACAGTCGAACAAAAAGGGTAGAGGAAGATTATAAGACCCTATATATCTATGTTGACACAAAATTACATGGCTTATTCATGGATAAGCTTCCATCATTGGATTTACTATGTCTCCTAATAAATCATTTTGGTTGGTTGGAAAGCATAAATGAGTTGGAGTACCATAAAGGTATGTATACCTTTTGGTGTTATGATAATCTGATTCTTTACTACATGCTGCGATGCTCTTCTCAACATCATGTGACAAATTGTCTTTTCTGTGCTCCAGAAACCCTTCCCTTTTTTATTTAGTATTTATTATTTTATTGAGTTCTCTGAGCTCCAAAAATATGATCTTTTGGATGCAATTTCTGGTTGGTATTGAAGTGCTTCCCTTTGTTTACAGGGTAACATTCAAAGCTTGACTGCAGCTGCATAATCGTGATAAATATCAAGCACATGCTTGGCTCCTTTCCCCGCCATGTCAAACCTTCTATGAAACAAGGTGGATGGTTTAATATTTAGATAATAGCACTTTTTGCCTGACTTTTGTTTAAGTAATCTGTATGCATGCCTCCAAAAGGACTCATGTGATGCTTGGGCATTTACCTTCCTTAACATTCTTGAGTTTGTTATTACAATTCTTTATTCAATTCTGAACCTTTTTGTTGCAGACATTTGATACAACAAGATGATTGAAGTATTGGCAAAAACTGGTTATCTTACTCAGGAGTTCATTTTAAGCCTGTTGCAATTTGGAGTGTCGTATTCCAGGCCATGCTGCTTTGTCTCGTAATTTTTACTGTCTTCCCTCTTCTTGCTATCTTCATTCCTAAAATATGCATGAACACACACGCGCGCGCGTGCACGCGCACACTCACACACACACACACATTCACTTAGTTGTCAGTATGGGAAAAAAGAAAGAGGAGAAACTTGATGAACTTTGAGTTCCCTGGTTTCAGTAAAAGGACATTGGGTTCCTTCATTGCTTCTCTGGAAAAGACTTACCTTCATCTGTGCATCGTTCTATTGCTAAGTTAGTCAAGACAGTTTTTATTATTTCTTTTCTAATGTTTCTGGAATTGTTTAATATAGATGGCTGGATTAATTTCAGAATTGTTTTGCTTCTGGTTAATCTTGGGTCCCTGAGTCCGTTTTAGGTTTGAAAGTTGTGTAGTGTGGATTTATATATGCAAGTAATTAAATGTGTTTACTACCTTACTCTGGTTCATATGATCCTGTCCCTCAGCTGAGATTTGGCGGAGAACCTACTGCGTGATTGTTGACACTTTGTCAGTAATGCTGCAAATTTGTATGATCAATGAGAAAAAAGTGTCAACTTAATGTCTCTAATTTTAAATAATTCTGGCATGGTGTAGTGGCACACAAGATCTTAATATCTTATTTGTAACCCGGTGATTCTATAGATTTAGGTTCCTTTATTTTATACATCCAGCTTACATCATTTTGGTATTGGGGGCATTAAGAGGTACGACAGAACCTGTATGTGAAGGAATACCAAATCCTCCATTAAGGACATTAGCCATTACCATAATCATTCTGATGGATAACAAATGTAATATTGAAGCTGTAAGAATTTGTTTTCTGTGTAATTATGAGGAAATCCAGAGCTATAATTCTATCCAATTTTTGGTGTGTATTTGTGTCGAGTAACCAACATGATGTTTTAGACTGAATTATTCTAGCTTTTGATTGTGCAGGTAAATCCTCAATATATGCATTCAGATGGATCACGTTATTGACTAAGGAATTTCATTTCAATACCATTTTGAGAATTTGGGACTCACTTTTGAGTCATTTTTCTGTTATTCAGGTGTGTAGTCTCTTTCTAATTTCAAAATTAAGGACTGTTTGTTATACATGCCAAATCTGAACTTTCATCCCAGTATCCCTTAGTTGGATTTTCTCTCCCTATAAACATCAAAGTCACTATAAAATTTTGGATTGTTCACCTTCCTCTCATTACTCTGACAAAGAGGAGAAAGAATGGGAGAGATTGGTTCTTGAAAATCACTATATCTACATTAGGTGTTAGTGCTGTGAATGAGGGGTGATAAAAGCAAAATCAGGTACTAGACTAAAAGTTGGGAGCATATTTTTAAATTTAAAGAAAAGTTTAGGGACATATCAATAACTTGATACTAAAACAGACACCGGGATGACAGATGTCACTCCCTGGTGCTGTTTTTTCCCTCCAAAATCCCCCTTCCTTTTTTTTTTTTTTTTTTTTTTTTTTCCCTCTTTTAGCCAATGCCACATATTATAATTTATATATAATATATATTCCCCAAATCTTATAATTGTAATAATTTTGATTCACATACTATCTTTGTCTGTAATAAAATATTTCAATATCTTTATATCATATAAATATTACTATGTATGTCATACTTTCATGTATAGCATAATACATCATATATTATTCTTTCAAACTATTAATATGAAATATATTTTAAATAAGATAGTTTTGTTACAATATTAACAAACTGATGAATCTATTAAACTACATTCGTATCACGTACTACACAAATTATTATTATTATTTTTTGAAAGATAATTTTGTTCTTGTAGTATTATTTTTCATTGAGAAATTTTAAAATATTTTTTCTTATTAGGAATCCTCCTACTAATACCATATATCTTGGACAAAAATAACATTATTCTGTTTTTTTAATTTCCAAGTATTTATGTATTACGTATATATGTTTTCCATCATCACACAGTGTATTAAATGCACAATATCATTGAAATTTTTAGACACTCATATAGTCATATGGGCTAAGATATAGTTTTAATATACTCATGGTCTAATCGACTCTTTCATTGCAAATAAGAAGAAAATAATTATAACGTAGTTTGTATTTTGTCCGTGTTATTTTTATAAAAGATAAACTGATTTTAATTTAATGAGGTGAAATTACCGTGCGTGGTACGGGACCTAACCTAGTACTTAACTAGAATAATGCCTCTTTTTCTCCCAGGTCATGCTTCCGTGCGTATGTTGTGCAATGCAGAAACACACAGAGAGAGTATAATGCTAATTAGCGATTTTGCAACCGACTTGTATCTTCTACAACAATATCCCAAGGTTAACATCGGATAACTTCTTCAGGCACGAAATATCATTCCGGACAGCTCTACCGTCCATGTTTACTTAGATTAATCACCTTGTAAACATGGTAAACAGAACCAACTGCTGCTTGAATTTCTTTTTTTAATCAAACAGATATCAGCTAAGCACCATTATCAGAAGAGAACATTGATTTCTCCTGCTTGATAAGCTTCCATTTTCTTTCTTTCATCATTTTTATATGTATGGGTTGTATTAGTTGTATGTAATAAGGGACTGACCTAGAGACTATAGATGTTAAATTATCTAATTGTACCAAGTGGCGGAGCCAGGATTTTTACACTGTTAGGGCACCGTACTATGCAATCGTGAAATAATGTTCTTAATATCAAGATTCATAATTACTTAGCAATCGTATTTGTCAAACCTTTATTATTCCAATATACATCAAATATTACCCCTATTCAAGGCTTTAAGCATTGGCCACGTTATTTTTTTAGATCTTTTATAATAGGTTTATAATCACTAGATAGATTTTTCATTTCAAATAGCATGATCTAAAATACCAATCATAAGGATTTATAACTAATAATTTAGGTGTACCTTACTCATACATGTAAAGAAATATTACAATTAAACTTGACGAGTCCTTAAGTTTTGAAAGCGTATTATTACATCATCAATTTCATTATCTTAAGTTGAAAAGTAATTGTGCCCGTGATAAAGCTTTCATTGTTGTGTTATTTGGGATAATGGATAAATAGGACATTTAAAAATAATAAAATAAAGGACATTAAACAAAGGGAGGGAAAAAAATATTGGGCAAGAGATTAGAACCCATGACCTTTGATTGAAAAGGCAATGTTCCAACCACTAGGCTACTGATAAGCTTGAACACAATGGTGTACTTTGTATTATATTTAACCAAAACTTTAACTATTTCTTTTTTTCTTGGTAGGACACAAGGTGGCTCCGCCACTGATTGTACCCAAGCTAAATGTCATTAGTTAGCCTATCCATGAGTTGCTTTTTGCATGATAGGTTGTGCTTCTATATATCTTGCTTTTAGTTTTGATTTAATGTACTTTGATTTGAGACTTCAATAGACAATTAGACGTTGAGACAGCAATTGTGGGTGATTGTTCTTTTAAAAAAAAACCCTAAGATGTTACATCATTGATCTTTAATAAAACCCCTAAGATGCTTATAACTATTTTCACTCTTTGTAGTCAATTTGATTTTCATTTTCCGAAATCTGAGTTACAAAATTTTCAAAGAAATTTACAAGATCACCCCTATTATAAGGGCTTAGATAATCATCGCTGTAAATGTTAAGAATAACTTTTTAGCTTGATTTCCTATTATCAAAACACTTCGAATGCTATGTTGATAGACGGTTGAGACACCATAGTGAAGTACTCTTAGACCATCTCTAATGGTGAGACTCAACTTTGAGTATTGAAATACAAAATGAGTTGTTTTTACCTCCAATAGTGATACCCAACCCACTTCTCAATTTAGTAACTCATGTGAAGTCTAATTTCTCAATGATGAGACTCTCTAAAGTATACTATATCACTTTCAATTTATGGCCCACCAAATCCATATTGTAAGTTTTTCAAAAAAAAAATAAATAAATAAAACTTAAATAAATTACACAATATATTATAATATTGATAAAGGACCCACACTTTTTGTCAAATGAGACTCAAAGTTGAGTATCTAAACTTAGCAACTTTCTTTTGGAGTTGCTAAGTTTAGATACCAACTTATGAACTTATTGGTATCCTTTGCAAAAAATACTCTCTCTCTCCTAAAAATACTCCCTCAAGTCTCACCACTAAAGATGATTTGACATTCTTATACACAATAAACAGTAGATCATCATCGCTACTTTCTATTTCCTCTTCTTTTCAGCATTCTCTTCCTCCATTATTTCTTCTACCTTTTTCTTCTTACTCTTGGCTTCAACTTACTAACTTGATACATTTTGATCATTTAACAACAAAAAACCTAACAATTAAATATATCACTTTTACAAGACAAAACACAAATTATGCACGAAACAATTCAGAAAAATCCTAAAATATTTTTTTTTTAAAAGGAAAAAAAAAATCCTAAAATATATACTACCTCCGGTTTTTTTATGTGCAACTTTCAAGCATTTTGCGGTTCACGAAGCAAAAGATTGAAGGGCAAAGATTAATAAAAGTGAGTGGGTTTAATTAAAGGAGAAGGAGAGAGAAAGTGTGGCCACCCACATAGTATTTTGGTGGGAAAATCTGGCCAAAAGTACAAAGCCAAATTTTCCCCTTCAATTAAATCTGCCAAAAAGTACAAAGCCAAATTTTCCATGTAAAATTTGTTTCCCCCCAATTTTTCAAAAAAATCTGCCAAACTGAATTTTTTTTAAATTTCAATGGAAGCTATAAAATCAGTCTCCATTTCGATTTTGCCCCCAAAATCATAACATTTAATGAGGCTATAAAGGCAGCCTCCATTGTCATACAATTCATTACAGCCATTAATGTTAGCAGCTGGGTGAAACATTCCAGCAAAAAACAGAGTTTCATCCCAAAAAATTACAGATTTCTAGTTCACCCCTACGGTTAGGTTAATTACACACTAACTACAGTGTTCAAAGATTTACAAAAAAAGGCTGCTCTGCTGTCTTTGAAGGACATCTGGGTCATCTTCATCTTCACCCCAGCAAAAATCAGCAGGCCCCTCATCATCATCTACATGTGCTAATTAACACAAACACATGGCAGAGTATGGTGATTCTGTTTTTTTCGATGTTGAACACATACTAAATGAAGAGCAGATGGGAGAGTTGTGGTTTGAAGAAGAAGAAGAAATGCAGGATGCAGGCTTTTGGGGGTATGAATCAGAAGATGACAGTGAAGGTGAGGTTGATGGCTCACAAATGCAACAACAACCACAACAAATGCCACAACAACCACAACAAATGCAACAACCCCAACAAATGCAACAATAAATTGTATGCAGGAAGCAACTGCCAATGCAAAAGAAAAGGCAAATTGTAGATGCAATATTGGTGAAAATGAACAATGGCATATTACCTAGGGGTCACTTGAAGCAGTTATCAACTCAATTCAACGTACATAAATCAACAATAACAAGAATATTCACAGATATAAAGAAACAACTGGCATAAGGGGACTTGATTGATGTCAGGACTAAAAAAATTGGCAGAACAGGAAGAAAGCCAATGGAAATTTCTGATGAAATTCTACAGTCAGTCCCATTACATTTAAGGCAGACTGAAATGAGCTATGTAGGAGCACTGAAGATCAGTCATAGCACAGTTCACAATTTGAAGAGGAGAGGAAGGCTAAGAACACACACAGCCTGCAACAAGCCAGCACTGTCATCAGACCATAAGGTGGCCAGACTTAGATGGATTTTGTCACACATAAATCCATTTACAGGAAATCAGGACCCCACATTTGTTGACATGAGGAATGTCATACACTATGATGAGAAGTGGTTCTACTTGAACCCTGATAAAAGGAGGTTTTATCTACTGCCAAGTGAGGAGGGTCCTTACATGGCAGTTCAGTCAAGAAGATTCAAGCTAAAGGCCATGTTCATGGCAATTATAGGGATGCCATTATATGGCATAGATGGAGAAATGTTACATGATGGGAAGTATGGCATCTTCCCATTCACTGTGCAGCAATTAGCACAAAAATCAAGCAAGAAAAGGCCAAGAGGGATTTTGGAAACAAAGGCACTACAGAATATAAACAGAGAAGTAATCAGGTTGATGTTGCTCACAAAAGTTATCCCAGCCATCAAGTCAAAGTGGCCAGAAAGTCTGGCCAAGGATGTGGTAATCCAATGGGACAATGCTAGGCCTCACCAAGTTCCAAGGGATGCAGAGTTCATTGAAGCTACTACCACAAATGGCTTCAACATTCAATTTATTTTTCAGCCAGCACAATCACCTGATTTGAATGTGCTTGATTTGGGGCTGTTTAGGTCTATACAATCATTGCAATATCAGTTTTTTCCTAAGGACTTAGATGAGCTAGTCCAAAAGGTGAAAGACTCTTATGACACATTCGATCCAGAGGTTAACAAGTACATCTGGGTTACTTTGCAAAATTGCATGATTAAAATACTGAAGGCAAAAGGTGGTAACAAGTACAAGATTCCACATATGAACAAGAAAAAGCTTGAGAATATTGGCATTCTACCAGAAATAGTTGTAGTCCAGAAGGAGGTAGTAGTGGAGGCTGTGGAGTATCTAAACACTATGTTTAGGCCAGCTAATCAGGGCAATGAAGAAGTCACAGAAGAATTGGAGGTGGATGCAGATTAGGGGACTCAATACAAGAAAAAGACAACACATGTACTGCCACACATAACCACTTACCTATGTAAGTTTGTTTATTTGTGTTTTATTTCAAATGTTGAAGTACCAAGTGGTTAGGTGTATTTTGTTGATTACAATTATCAAAATATATAAGGCAGTATGTTGTAAAGTCTTTAGATTATGGTAGGGTCTTTTGTAATGTACTTTCTTAATTACTCAAAGGTATGTCTTTTGTACCCACATTTTAAATGGTATCAATGAATGACAAAGACAGACAATTGTTGGGGCCATTCAATCCATCAGAGGGGTTAATAGTCATTGTTGAATACTACACTAATGCACAAGGATACCTCAACAACAACAGCATTATGCATGTTGTTGGAGCAATTCACTTGTGCTTAGTCAAATTCAATGGAGTCCCTTCATCATGTGGATTTGGGTAAGGTGAATGTCAAATCAGATTATGGGACTCAAAACAAACCAGGACCTATTAAAAGGGGACTCATTGTAAGGGACTGACTAGGCAGAAATGTTACATGTAGAAGATACCAGCCTCATCATTCATCAATCAAATCCACTTTGCCAACATCATACATCCCAGTCAACAACAACACAATAAACTCAACACAACCAACCTCAAACATAACCCAATTAAGTCCATGGTAGTCAACAACAACACAATCACCTACACACACCCAACACAATACATAAGCCAACATAGTCCATGCACATCAACTCACTTCCAAATCATCAACATAAAAATCACTACGAATTGGAGTATTTGAAACCCAGTACATTCCAACAAAAGAAGAGAACAGGCAATTCATACAACATCATTAAATAAACTCAACCAACCATAGTATCCACACATGCATGAACCCATCAAATTACCAATAGTACACAGCAAAATAACATAACCAAGGGTAACACCAAAAACCCTAAAACCCATCATGCAACCAGATCTAGTCAAACATTCCCACAACAAAAACCAAAAAACACAGCAAACCAATACAGTATGGCAAAAATAAAAAAATTAAGGTGAATTTTAAAAAAAAAAAAAATTAAAGAGTTATGGTTAGGAACAGTTACGCAAGGGTCAGTGCTCATCCTCCTCATCAGAGGAAAGCACGACGAATTCTCTCTCCGGCAAACCCCGAATACGCCTCAGAGCCACCAAGGCCGCCTTCCTACGTGACCTAATCTTCGCCGGTGGCCTGGAAGGCTCAAATCGGGCCTTGGGAGGGGGCGCAACACTGCCATCCTCACTTTGGGACCCCAGATCTACACGAACAACATCAAAATCAAGCTTTTTGTGGCCTCGGGACTCGCCTACACCCTCCTCCTTCGTTTTCTGCTCAGCCTCATCAATATTCTTCAGAACTTCCCCTAACTCCGTGAAAGTGGTCGGCGAACAACAGCTTGGCCCATCTTCATGCGCGTATAGGCGACGGGGAAAATCATCGCCTCTGTTGAGATCATTGATGAGGGACTTGATAAGAGTGGCCTCGCTGTTGTTGTCGGTGCCAATGTAGGCGTCAATTAGTGGATCAAGGTCTCTCAGGGGAATGGTGTCATCTGGTTTTCGAACCAAAGGTGAGGGAATGGGAGATGTCATGATGTAAACTGGAGAGGAAGGCGAAAGAAATGAGGAAGGCGACAGAAAGGAGGAAGGCGAAAGAAAGGAGGAAAGGAGGAAGGCGAAAGAAAGGAGGAAGATGAAGAACCAGATCTAGGGTTCTTCAGAAAAAGAGTCTAGATCGCTTTTAATCAGGTGGTTGGGAAGATGGAGAGGTGTGTCAGTTGGGAGGAATAAATGGAGGGAGTGATTAGATTAGGGTAATGTAGGTTAATGGAGTTAAGTGGGGGTTATGGGTAATAAGGGGTAAAAGTATAAAAATCTGAATTTTTAATTAAGGGTAATATAGTAATTTTCAGTGTTTTTTTTACTCAAAATAGATATAAAAGAGAAAGTTGCACATAATAGTGAGCGGACTAAAATAGCAAAAGCTGCACATAAAAAAAACCAGAGGTAGTGTTTCGGGGTTTTCTGATGTCCTGCGGGAGAGTTACAATTCCGAGACTGGAACCGGACGCCTGTACCTGCAAAACAAACGGATGCTCCGGATGATTGGAGATCCGCCTCCGACGGTCAAGTTAGTACTTGATTAAGGAGTAATTAATGCGGAAATTAAAGTGATTGGGTCTCTCTAGGTGAGAGTGTTTAATGTGTGTAATCTGCGTTTTTAGCGTGTCCTCCTTAATGAGGATTAAGGGAGGTATTTATAACCTCGGGAAACGTGTCAATCTAGGTTTAGGTTAACCTTGGGCTGATTGGGCTTCCCTCGGAAGTTGGGCCTAGGTGACCGGTTATCCCAGGTGTCATGGGAAGGACACGTGTTGTGTCGTAATTGGTCCATAGTGGACGGATCATTGCTTGACACGTGGCAGGCTCCTATTGGCCCATGTGACGGACACATGGCGGAACCTGATTGGTCCACTTGTCAGATGGTGATTGGTGGGGAAAAATCCCCTAATCATTTGCCCCTCACAGGTGGCACGTGACTGGTCACGTGTTACCTGTGACAGGTATCGCCCTGTAACAGGCGACGACCTGCTACAGGTGTCACTCGGCGAGAGGCCGAGAGATTCTCCCGCCAAAATTTTGAATTCTGGAAGTGACCCTTCGCCTTCTCACTTCGCCTATATAAAGGAGTGTTGACTTCGGTCATTTTCACACTTGAAAACTTTGTGAGAGAACATTCGGACCCCTGAACTTGCTCTGACATTTTGGACCCTTTCTGCCTACCGCCTGCTCTGACAAGCTGACTGCAAAGGATTTTCAGAACTTCATCAATCGTCACTCGTTCAGGTAACCGTCGGTTCTCTTACTCTTAATTTTCTCTTTGCTTTATTCTTTTTTGAAATGGCACCACGGAAGCACACGACACGACCTAGGTTAGTGATCAGCCGGTCACCGGGGACGGCTGAATCTAGGACTAGGAGTGCCGCCTGCCCTTTTCTGGACCCATCTTTTCCCTTTATACAAAGTCCGACTGTATCTGTGTCTATGCAGAGAATGATGGCCAGAACAAAAAAGACTGCCAGGATCTCAAACTCAGACGGCTCCTCCCACAGGGTGCCGATTAGTGAAACATCTGACCAGGCGCCAGATGTGGAAGTGAAACAAAGCGGCTTGAAAGCCGACAGTTCTGAGGGAGGAGTCAAAGTGACCCCTTCCCATTTTACAGTTGACAATTCTACATTATCTTCTGCTCCTTTTAAAGGAGAGGAGGCAGGCCCCTCCGGGAGAGGGGAAGAGTCGTCCTCTTCGGACTCGTCAGAGGACGATTCCGAGTCTAGCTCTTCTGGCCATGCTTCCCTGGACACAGAAGAGAAAAACAGTCGCCTACAAGAGGCGAGGCTTTCTCACGCAGTTGAGAAGGGGGACGATTGGGCGGAGCCATCCGCCTCTCACCGAGAGCAAAATACCCCCTACTACTGCACGGTACCTCGGGGCCGGATCACGGCCATGCAAGAGAAAGTGGAGAGCTTTATCGCAAACCACACAATGGGCCCCGGCTTTTTAGTGTTCGTGCCGGATCCAGAAGACACAGTCGTATGGCCGGCTGGTACCAGTTATGATGGCGCCTGCTTTGGCTGCTACGAGGCGGCCATCAAGGCTGGGCTGCGCTTCCCACTACATCCAGCTGTTCAGCGGATCTTGGATGGGTATGAGTTGGGGTTATGGCAGTTAGCCCCGAACTCCTGGGTCAACGTACTCGGCTATGTGGCCGGGTGCGAACTGCACGGGTTGAGCCGAGCTTCGAGGCTTTCGCCCACATGAACTACCTCAGCCGGACCCCTAAGGCAGGCGGTACCGGCTGGTATCAATTGACGAGCCACAGGGGCTACCTCATGACGAGAGGTAAAACAAACAAATGGAAGGACTGGCGGAGCACCTTCCTCATCATTGAGAGTTCAAACACAGAGCTGAACAAGCGCTTCAACAGGTGGAACAGGAATCCGCCCCTTCTTGCAGGCGGCCGCAGCATGCCGCCTGTTCCCCCCAAGGCTAAGAAAGAGATCCTAGATAAAGGACTCTTCAAAGTAGAGTCGAAGGTGAACTCTACTTCAGGGGTACGAGAGCAAGTACCCCTGCACTGCGTCCCGAGCTTCAAATGGCTCTACGACGAGTACTTTTTGGCCGCCTGTGGCCTCAGCAGTCGGTGCTCAAGAGGTAGCCGACTTGTCGAATACTCTGATGTTCCGTGCATTTCTTGTTATGACTTTTATTAACTTTGCTATTTGTTTTTGCAGCGGACGCCATGAGCAAAATTAACGCCTCCATGACTGCGGCGGCCATGTTGCGGGCCTCCATCATGCAACAGTCTTCAACCGACTCCCCCAACAAGGGGGCACCCTTGGTGGGCTTTGAACCTTTCACCCTCTTTTTGGAGTTGTGTTTATGCATATACTGACTCTTTTCTTCTTTTTTAGACGGGCGCTCCAAGAGCTTCTTCTTCCCAACAGCCGGACCCCAAGGCCCGGAGGACGACTGTTGCGAGCTCTCCTGGTTCTGCCAGGAAACATGCGGCGGCTGAGAAACAGCCGGCCACTTCTTCTAAAACTCCAGCTGGGCCACCTAGAAGTATGAAATTGTCCTTGTAAATTTTAGACTTGCTCCCTTCTTTACTAAGTCTAATCCGTTTGTTTATGCTTGATGCAGCCGGCCCTCAGGAGCCTGACTTGGTCAAGGTGGCCAAGTCTATGATCAAGGCCGTTCCTCCAGCTGAAAGGGAGGCGGTCAGGGGTGTCGGCACCCTTGACCTAGACGGGATTGCAGGGGTCCTTGCTGAGGTATACTTAGCATATTTTTGAGTATTTGAATTCTAGGACGCCTGTTTTCTTTTTTGTTTGCAAACTGACGCCTGTTCCCCTGTTTACTTAGGCCCTGCTCCGAGTGAACGGCCTTCGCAAGCCGCTTGACCGGAAGAACAAAGAGGTAA